AATCAACTGACATTCTGTGCTTGATTACATTTGCCTTAATCCAGTTTGCAGAGAGGAGCAGCTTTCCACAACAGTCTGGTGCATGTTGATGGTAGATTTTCCTGTGCCAGGATCAGGGGCTGGATCTTTCATGTCTCCTGTATTAGACTGATGTCTTCACTTCCCTTTTATTGACCATTGACTGCTGTTTTTAAGCCTGAAGATTATGGATAAGAAAGCTCCCATGTTTTAGTTTGAAGCCCGAGCAGGCTTTCCTCCAGAAGATTTCACTTCATTGAGAGTCACATCCCCATTACGCAGCCTTTTGGGCCCCCTTCCCAAAAAAAACAAAAACATTTTGATTTAGTTGGTTTTGGGTGAAGGATGCTTCATATTTGTGAATAACAACAGGGTGATGTTTTATTGTCAGGCGATGTATCCGTCCCTGGAGAGCAACTTTACATAACTGCTTTAGAAGAATGGTGATGAAAACCTCTGTAAAATTGTCCAGGGTGCCTTATATTGTAGTTCTGTTTTGTTTTATTGTCTGACAACTTGGTGCATTTTTCTGGATCAGGCCACAGGCTTGTGGCTAAATGAAAACATCAACCAAAGTTTCAGCAAACAGAAGACTCGGGGGTGCAAAGCAAATGAAGCCAGATGTTTACCATCATTTACATTTTCAAAATAATTATTTGCATATTGCCAAGGGAAATACAGCAACAGGACGATGTTATTTTTCAATACATGGGGCTAAACTATTTTCTAAAAGAAAAAAAAAAGAACCCCAAAGATGAAGTATTCTTGTTCAACTTAAGTACATGTTCAGTGAAGTTATCTGACAGATGGAAAAATAAACTATCCCATCATAATAAACATCATCCCATCATAATCAAGTTTATGGCATAAATTGTTGTACCTGTCAGATTTAGATATTTTGTTTGTTTAAAATTCAGCTGTAATTTAGATTTAATCTGTGTCTTCAACCACCTTTTTCAAGAAGCTTGTTTTAATATACGTGGGAGAACAGCCTGTGTATTTGTTCCATTTCGCCAAACATCTTAAAAGCCATTAGTGTCAATGGTCAGAAATCTATTCCTTCCTTTATCCAAACTGGGGAATGTTGCTGAATGCTAAAAGTTTTTCTTTAAGTCTTTGAATTGTAACTATACAAAGTTTTGAAAGACGTATCCAAAAATGGTTACTTTGAGGGCAACAAGACAGAAGAGGTTTCTTGGACCTCTCATCCAAGAGAGGCTTCTTAATTTTTTCAGAACTGAGGTGATAAGATGACCTGCATGACTGAAAACCTAAGCACACCAAGCATATGTATACATTTAACAAAGTCAGGTCTGACGCAGTCTGGATTTAAGACATGCTAAATGTCAGGTGTAGATTTATTTTCACTCCTCCTATAACCTCTTTCCTTTGTTTTGGTTGTACTTGGAAAAGGACAAAAACTCGGATGACTTTTATCTTAAATAAAAAAAGAATATTTCCACAAATTCGTCATGACATTAGATCAGTTTTTGTCTTCACTGACACTCCTTGACTTTCCAGCCACAGTCAATCCAGATGACTTTGTAAACAGATCCATTGGGAGAACGTTGATTTGTGTGAAATTCCCTTACTCCAGTGGCGCTTGTTACAGTCTGCTGCCATTTCAACAAAGTGGAGCATCATTTTGGCAACTACGACATCTGATCTGATTACACAAGGAAGGGTTGTGTACTTTTTGAAGTTTATGGCTTTGACAAACAACCAAGTGTTGAATCGTGTCTGTCAATTACAGTTATTGTTGAACAATGTTCGCACAATTGGAATTTTATTGATAATTTTTCTACTGAGTTACTAACTTCAATATGATAATTATATATATATGTATATATGTGTATATATATATGTATATGTGTATATATATGTGTGTGTATATATATGTATATATGTATATGTATGTATATATGTATGTGTATGTATATATGTATGTGTATATATATATATATTTATATATATATATATATATTGTATTATTTTAGCTTGTGGTTTTGCTCTCCCTATTCTGTTTGTTGTTGTAGTTAATTTTGTGTTTTTTTATTTTTTTCTGAACTTCTGTATTAATGGACGAAGTTAGAGTATAAAAGTAAAAAGGGACAAAACTATGTTATAAAATGATCCAATTTCACAGTACATAATGGTAAAAAGCTTTTAAGATGTCATTTCTTTGCTGATTATATTGGTTTTTTTATGAAGATAAGTGCAAGAATAATAGGTGGACAAGAACAGTTTTCTCAGTGAAGACAAAACTGTAGAATTAAAGAATCTTTTTGGTGTTAAAGTATTGTCTGGACAGAACATTCACGACACGGGTTATGTTGAGTTAGTGAGTCAACTGTTCGTCTATCACTGTCCCTTCAATGACTTGTAGAGCCTTCGTTACCCGAGCCTGGGTCAGGACACGCAGATAGATAAGACAAGTGCCCAAAATTTCATGGATATTGGTTCAGTAGTTGTTGAGTGATTCTGCTTCGTAGACGCTCAGAGCTGATGAAACATTAGTGGCTGATTATTAGTCAGTTTTATTCTGCTGACACCGGACTTTTTAGTGCCATCACTTGACTCTAAGCGGCAAGTTCCTGTGTCATCACTTTTCAGTTCATTAGCATCATTGTGCATCAGCAGGGTTGCTTAATAGACCAGAAATGTAAATCACGGTCATTGTTATCAAGATTTTTGGTTGTCATTTTCAAGATCTCATGGTTACATGTCTCAAAATATACACTTTTATTATTATTTTTTAAAAATAATCAAAATATGTCCGGAGAAGTCAAGTCACATTAGGTTCTACAAATGTCAGACATGCTAGTTGCTGTGCTTCATGTAATCTTGGTGTTCTTCTGAATTTTAACGTTAAGTTTTGGTTGTTGGTGTCATCAGCTTCAGACTCTCAGTAATCGTGTTATTACTAGAACTAATTAAAGAAAATCGAATTTATGTCGCAACTTTGTGTTTTTACGGTGGCATTGTGGCTGATGATTTTTTTTACAGCTACAGTTCCAGAGAGTGAAAACTGACGTCTTACAGATGGTCTGGTTAAATTGGTTTTATAGAACAGACGTTGCTATTTTGGTTTGAAACAAACTTGCCTGCTTTCAGTAACACGAACAAAATCTTTCATGTGCCACCTGGTGGCTTTCTGTAATAAAACCAAAATAAAGATTTAAGGCCCAGTTTCCATGCAAGGTAATGCAGTTGTATTGAGTGTTATTAAAACATTGAAATATGCATACTACTAGGTTTCTTTTTTTTTATGCGTCTCCCTGAACTGACTCTGGAGTTTTGAAATATTGCTTTGTGTTTTCATTTTTAAAGGATCTGCATGGAGTCATAATCATATTTGATTAAGGAGGGACCCAGAGCTAATTTGATTATTTAGAGGAATATGTGTCGGGTAATAAACATTTATTGTGATGAAAAAAAAAGTTTACTTTAATAAGCATGAAAAAGCCCAGAGGACCTGGGAGCTTAATTGTTAGATGTTAAATTGCGTTGTTGCGATGTTGCGAAGATAATGGCTGAGGAAAGACCCTCAAGTCAAGGCAATTAAGCAAACAGTGGTTTGATTGTTGTTAAATTGATTAGAAAATGTTTAAGGACTCTGTTTGAAAATTAGCTATTGTTTCATGCAGTTTCAGAACAGTCAGAGATGCCGGAATTAACGACATTTACAATCTGAGGTAAAATTGTGTATTTATTTTTCAAAATTATTTTCAAAAAGATTCCCAAGCCGAAGTGATACAGATGATAAGAAGCGACGCAGGTGATAGCAGAAACGTTCATAACAAACAAACACTTTACAGTAAACATTTTTTTGATCCTACGAACAATCCAGAAAGGTACCAGATATTTGTGCATTTTCTCCCAACAGTATCGGTAACTAAAGACACTGTGACCTGCACAAGAAACAACAATCAGGTTTAATTAAAGATGTTCCTGGATGGGGAGGGTTATATTTTTCTGAGAATTAAAAATATTTGGTAAATAATAAAAACCTTAGCTGTTTAAAGCCAGACCAAACACTTTCTTTGCAGTATTTTTTTTTTCTGTGGCAAGTTTCCTAATTTTTTCTAACATTTTAAGCATTTCTAGGTAAACATTTCTAGCTCAACTTCCCTTTGGGATGTTTATAAACACAAACTATTTTGGAAGATCTTTTCACATAGGATAAAGTTATTGAAATTCTACGATATCACTACTATATGTGGAGCTTATGAGTCACTTACCAAGAGATCTTTTTGTGTTGGCTCTGAGTGTAGTTTTATGACCTTTTGTAAGCAAGAAACATCCTTTTTTTTTTTTTTCAATTTGACATTGTTGTACTTGAGGTTTTCCGTGTGATTGTTGGTCATTGTTTGCAGGATGAAGTAGCTCCCCTCTAACCCCCCCAAATATTGTGTGCGTGAGGTGAAGGCGCTGATTTGTGTTACGCAATATATATTTGTTTACTTTCTCTC